TGAGAATTCCAAGAACGTGGCGCACCTTATGTCAGGAATCGATTGCGAAATTAGATTTTCGTTTTGCAAATAGTCACGTGCAACGACGGAAAGAATGGCACATTTCAAAAATTTTTATGAAACGGGATTATTATTATTTACGTAACTATAAAAAAAAAACTGTGGTGTTGCGTAACGCGAAAAATTTTTCTATTTCGATTTATTCATCATAAAAATGTTACATGTCATTCAATGTGAATTTGATTCTGCGTCAATATTGTATATACAATATTGCATGTAACATTTTACCTTTCCAATATTTGACAAATAAGTTAATATCTAGATAAAATCTGAATAAAATAAAGCGACTTTCAACCTTCCAATTTAATACCTTGTCTTAAAATTCACCATTTCATAATTTTGACAATTGAAAACTTATCGTCAATGATATCGATTAAAGCGGCACTGAAATTCTAAACGTCGTCTCGCTCGCCTGAAATTGCACGATAATAACGATGCGATCAAAAGCGAGGAAGCGAGATACGATCGAACGCATATATTTAGTTAGACGCGTAAATCCGATTATCTCGTTAGACCTCGTCTCATCGTAACGATCGCTCAGATGCATCGCAAAGATGCTCGCGAGATGAAACTCGATGCCGTTGCATCGCACAGTGGCCCTTCCCCCTTTGGGGAGAGGGCGGCTAAAGCTCGCAGAGAGAGATTTATTTTCATTAGCACACGCCTCCGTGCCCCCTTTAGAAAGATTATGAAGTATACGCGGCCCGGGGTGCTTTTTCTCTCTCTCTCTCTCTCTCTCTCTCTCTCTCTCTCTCTACTCTACTCTTACTCTCTCTCTCTCTCTACTCTCTACTCTCTCTACTACTCTACTCTACTACGTACTACTACTACGTCGTACTACGTACTACGTACTACGTACGTTACGTACGTACTACGTACGTACGTTACGTTACGTTACGTACGTACCGTTACGTTACGTTACGTACGTTACGTTACGTACGTTACGTACGTACGTACGTACGTTACGTACGTACGTTACGTACGTACGTACGTACGTTACGTACTACGTACGTACGTACGTACGTACGTACGTACGTACGTACGTCGTCGTCGTCGTCTCTCTCTCTCTCTCTCTCTCTCTCTCTCTCTCTCTCTCTCTCTCTCTCTCTCTCTCTCTCTCTCCCCCTCTTTTCTCGCCCTTGCAAAATCCGCGACCGCGCGGAAAATTCGTTCGCGCGTTTTGAATTTCGCGAAATTAAAATCCGCGAAAGGATTGTCTTCCCCCGGGAAATCGTAGTTACCGTCGGATCGCTGCGTTTTTCCGCTTGAAAAAAAGGATCGCCTCGCGCATAAATGAGAAAATGCAAATGGACGAGCAGCTCGAGTGTTCAAGGTGCAACCGCTTCAACGCTATTACGTTCGGCGAAATCGCTCTCGACTGTGGCGGCTTGTCGGATTTTCCTTGCCCTATTTGCGACCTCTCCTAAATCATTCAATTTAAAATAGTTATGATGTTAATTGTATTAGTCTGTAGACAAAACTCAAAATGTCAAAATATATTTATTTTCCGTTCTTCCTAAAGACAAGCAAATGAGCAGAATCGGAAAATATTTAAAAAATTTGCATATGCTTTAAATATATCAAATTTAAAAAGATGTGAATTAATTTTCTATTTATATGATAATTCGTTATGTAAATTTTTTTATTTTTACAATCAAATTTATGTTATTTTCTTTTCATAGTGATTAATATTAATATTAATACTTTTCTTAATTTCGTTGAGTATCTTCTGAATGTCTCTGACAGTTGTACGCACTTTAGCGATAAAGATAATATTTTGCATAATTTGAATCTGCGTATCACTCGGTGACTACTTGATATTTGTAACGATGTCCGTTTTGCGAGATCTTTTCATTTGGCGGCGGATCTCCATTTTGATGGGGCGTCCCTAGCAATAAATTCCAAAACCGATTTGCGTCACCAACGTTATTATCATTCGGCAGGTATGAGCGACTGAGGCAGGAGATGCCGGGCGCGATCTCGCGCGTGAAAACGTTCGAGGGAAATCTGCTTTACGAAGATATCGGCCTAAATGTCGCGGATGTCCTGTTGAAAGAGGTTTCCGTGGTCTTTCACGCTGGTGGTCCGCATGACTTTGTTTTGGAATATTGCCAGGAATTACCGAATCTAAAGAGTGCCGCTATAGCGTCCAGCATTTTTAGGCATCGCGGCAAAATAAGCGAGTGCATACAGAATGAGAAAATTCCCGAATTACCGATCGCCTTGGTACGCTTTCCTTTTCTCGGACCAGCTCACAAGGAACCTATGCCCGGCTTCATCGAAACTCTTAAAGGACCCACCGCCCTTATGGTCGGCGCGGGCCTCGCATTTGGCAATTCGGAATTACAGGCCGAAGTCACTCCGATAGATATCGCAGTAAACACGATGATTACGGCCGCGTGGGAAGTCGGCATGTACGTATAAAATGCAAATTCTATTTTATTTATTTTACATTAATTTTAAGAAGTTTTACTCACTAATAAAGATAACAATATTTATAGTCTTCGAGAAGGATTAATCTAGCAGCTCGAGTTTAAAGCGCTTTTAATTCTCGTTAATTGCTGTAAACTTTTATGACTTTTCGCATTAATAAAACTTAACATGCCGTAACTTATCTCATTGTAATAATTAAATTTCTGCACAAAGTGCCATTTATCAATATACCTATTTACATAAGAACCGACTTTATAAATATCGCATTTGTTTAATGTTTGATTATAAAGAGAAAGTCAACCCCTTAATGTTAAAGGCGTTCATGTGTACGATGTTATGTAATGTTACGGAACAGCAATAATCAGTTGTCTAATTACAAGAAGTGAACAGAAAGCAGTGATGTCATCCTATCTTTCCTCAGAAATACATATTGCGCAATCGATTCTTTTTTCTTAAAGCATGTAGTAGTTTTTATTTAATTCAGGAAAATAATTATCAGTACTTGCATTTCGATAAAACCTAGCTGACAGAAAATTGCTCGTTATCTTTTTGCAGGTAAATGTGATTAAAGTAATATCAAGCGCGAATAAAAAATTATATAGAAAAATAGTATTACTATAATTAATGTCGGCATGACAATTCTGCCTTTTATCAAAATCAGAAAGCGAAAAATCGAACGAAATTAAACAGTACGAAAATCCGTAGAAAATCCCATATATAAATTTGATTATTTATCGATTGAAAGATCTGTGAAAAACGAGTTGTTATATTAAAAAACATAAAATTATTAATAAAAACGGAAAAAACTTGTTCTGCTCGGCTTTAACATATCTCAATCGGAATTCGTTGCAGACGCGGCTTATCTAGTTTTCCAATGCGAAATATTGGATACGGACAAACACGTTTTACATGTGCGCGCGGTTTCCGTGGTTGTTACTGTTTGCTCGCATTCGACGCTTCCGCTCCAATTGTCTAAAACGGAATTCGTTCTTTTCAGTTTTTGTTTGAAATCCACTCCACAATCCGTTGAAAGCACGGTTACTCCTCTCGCCTTGACGAAATCATGAATTCTTTGTATTAAAAAAATTAACAAATATGACAACTTCTTTAATACAGTTACATGTAATACGATTGTAAATTGACATTCGTTTTATCGAATAAAACTGCTAATTCCTTTGTTTAATCGAAATTTGAAAAATTAATCACACTAAAAATATACCATTTCTTGATGTTGAAAATATAAATTATACTTATTTCAAGTATGTATTAATTTATTTTTATTATTTTAATGTCAGTCTGTAAAAGATTTGTAGTGCTTGTATCTATAGGATTATCCCTTAGATTAGTATTGATTAAAACCTTTATATTTCATATGTCATTAATATCTAAAAAAAATATTTTTTTGGTGTGAGTCATATTTTCAACTCTTACAGAAAGTACAGAAGCTGTGCAATTTATATCCATCAAAGAAAGCGATTATCGGAGACTGTATGCGAGACGGTAATTGAAATCGATAGTTAAATTGTGCCCCATGCGCTCGGCAGGAATAGTTAAGTTGCATTAAATAGGTTTATTAAACGAAGTAATAGGTGGTACATCGATTTTCACGTGTAGAGCGCATCGACGAGGAAAGTGGTTCATGCGGAGCGTAAAATGAATCTAAAATCTGCAATAATATCCCGATGAAAATATCGACGCGCATATTAGGTCGCGAGATAAACGATTTAAAATCCCAATTAATAATACACCTTGTCAGCGAAACTTTCTTTCCAATCCGCTTTAAGATTTTAATTAGAGAACCGGTACGCACAATAAGAATCAAGTTGGACTTTTTAAATCATAAGCTTTGTTTAAGTCAGCCAACAACGAGCCAATCGAACGAAAGTTATAGCTAGGCTTTTCCGGGCTTTTCCTAGAAAACCCGAAGAGCTTACGTTTGATTCTAGTTTCAACTAAGAGCATCTCTTCGCTTCGCTCTGAAGTATTTCCAAACGACTGAACTGCGAATAAGTTGATTGCATTCGCCTTGCAAGAAGCGAAGCGCGCTATATCTGCCTCTCGTATTTTCTTTTTTCTTTCGCCTTTAACGATTATTCTTGTATTCACTGAGAAATTATTGGAGAGAAATTACTATTTAATTATTCATACTTATAAAACAGTTTTTTACAAGAAAACCGCATGTATGTTGTAATTCTAAGAGTTACGGTATTAATCATAAATTATCTCTTCTTTGCGCCAATTTGTATAATTAAGTTAACATTTACAAGATTTACGTAATATATATTTTCATCGTTCGATTATAGTGATAAAATTTATGATTTATGAAATCATACACAGTGATCATACACAGATGCAAGTCTACATATGCTTTGAGCAAGCTGTTTTATGATTTTAAAACGAGTAAAACGAAATACGTAAAATACACTTAGAATAAAATAATTAATTATTGCACGATAAAAAGCTAATTATTGGATGTGCAGTGATTTTTTTCTCTTATATCTTTTGATTTTTGTACAGATCCTCTACGAAACCGATGGTCTATAATGCGACATTATTGGGTTGTACATGGAACGATCTGATTAAAAAAAGTCGACGGGCCAGTAGTAGCTTTCCCTATCCGACGTTTGGAATCCGCGGGATGATATCTATCCAGCCGCTGTATTGGATTTTGGTGTTGCTCCTTGAATGGCTACCGTCCCTACTGTGCGACTTCACCCTCGGTCTATGCGGCAGGAAACAGAGGTACCACGAGCGCGAAATTTATCATGAAATTTCACGAGTTACGAATTTATCGTCATAGCTTCGTCAACGTCTCCGTTGGCGTGGTCTTTTCGTAGTCTCGCGGAAAATTCAGCCCAGTCATTTTTATCGCCGTCACTAACTTTGCCATAAAAATGATTTAATTTGCCTTTGGAAAGTGTCGAGGTTGCTCCTTCTTCGTTAACTTTTAATCGCCAATTTTGCAATTTATTGAAATTTTATGTAAATAAAACACATAAATTGCTGGCCAAGCTATCGCTTAAATAATTGTTACACTTTACTCTCGTATTATACGTCCCCTTTAGATATTAGATGCTTGATCGAGAGGTCACGGATAAGCTGCTTGTACCGGAGTATTGTCTAAGTTTAAAGTTGGTTTCGCAGCGCTTCTGCAACAGCTGGCAATATTAAATTTGTTCGCGATATTAACTTGTTCGGAGAACGCAACACTATTAAAGGCACTAACAATAAATCATTTTCTCTAAGACCGTAACACTTTACTACTTGATATTACACCTCAATTTATAAGTTATAAATAATTTATAACGTGCATTAAAATATGCAACTTAAAAATTAAAATAGAAATTTCAACTTTCTAATTGTATTACAAACCGTCAATTTTTCCTCATATTACTTTCATTTGTGTTAAATGTTGCATTAAGTTATTTATACAATTCATACAATTTCTATGCATTTCATCGCGATGATTATAAATTCAAAGGATCGTAGAATGATCGTGACTATTAAACCTCGATGTACTTCGGAGATAATCCTTCGTTGCGTACGCGGGCATTAAAGCCGTTCATATATAGAGCTCCGAACTTCACTGATAACTATTCTCGCGATCGCGAGCAAGTTTCGACGAAGAGACTCGCGTGAAAGTTTGATCATGATCGCTTCTGTTTGGTCTCCTCAACTTTCCGCATTGTGAAAGGCCTGTAGCGGCGTGCCTGCTCGGTTAACGCGTCGTAAATCGTAAAAGTAAAAGTTATCTGGAACTGCGATTTAGGCGTAAACAGGTTCGCCGACTTTCGCCCGCGCGAATGCCGAGAAAAGGAAAATTGTGTTTTCGAACGAAAAAACTCGTTTCTTTGGGCGCAGAAGTTGCACCACTTGATGCCTGATTGCTTTGAAAAATAAAGTCTGATGTCGTGGTCGCGACGAGAAAACTTTCGAGAAATCTCGGGCCCATCAAAATTCGTTTTTATATCCCTTCAGTGGGTGTTCAAGCTTATCGCAACCTAAAAGCATCGATTATTTTTCAATGGAATTCTCATATGAACTAACTTTTTTTTAAGAAATTACCTTTCCAAAAAGTATTTTATACGCATTGAAATCTAAAATAAATAAGTGATATTGTCATTTATACATTTTCACGCGCGATAAGAAAGAAAAAGAAAGAAGAAAAATACGGGGTGCTATAGAAATCAATTCCCTTCATGGATTGAGTTGCAAACGAAAATATTTTCGCTTTCGGCATTCGTCCTGTCAAATACTTTCCTGATTTTTTCGTTTGCTCTCAAACGCGTGCGGAGTAAATCTTGTGCACTAACTTAGCTCGGGCTTTCTTCCTTCTTGAAAGGAAACTCTCCCGTCAAGTTTTCCGCGATTCCTTCGTAATAAGTTGGATTGAAAATTATATAGTTTGCGACGGACGGATAAAGTTTTTTTATTATCCCGCTCCCACTTAATGGTACTTCGCGATCTTTTTTCTCGACTACGATTGAAATGGCTATTTAAAAATCAATCTTGGGTACGTTTTATTCGTTTTATCGCATCTATATATTTTTTTTCTTAAATATATATAAATATATTCGAGGAAAATATAATTTTTTTTAAATATTCAGAAAATGATTCTTATAAATATTTCTTATTATTATTAAAAGAAAGACGTAAATATGTAGATAAAATCGCTAAATGTTCGGATATCAAAAAACTCGAATGACAGGCATTAATGGCAAGAAAGTAGTAAAAACGACCGATCTCGAAAGTAAAACCTTAACTGCTTCCAGGATTCTCGCAGAGTATAGTAGAGTTCGTAATGCACTTCAATCTCTGAAGTCAATTTCATCGAGGCCGTGGTCAGCAGAAAGGAATCGCGTGTACTTGCTGCAGGAACGTCTCTCCGAAGAAGAGCGGGAGGTATTTCCGATCGTCCCAGAGATTGACATTGAGAGTTACGTCCTGTGCGCCGCAGCTGCCTCCCGAAAGTATTGCGTGAATGAAGAAAATCTTAATGTCATAACAATGATGAATAGATTCTTTTTATTCGTACCTATAATATTTGTCGTCGCGTATATCGCATCGCGTACATTTTTGTCACATGTATAAAATTATACAAAAAAATATGTACTTTTGTACAGGAAAAGTTTCACCAGAAAAAAACTTTTTTACAAAAATTTATAAACAAAAGAAGAGTAGTAGTTTCTCTTTGAAATATCTTTATATTTTTATTTTTAGTTTTAACTTTCAATTTTAAAATTAATATCAACTTGCACTTCAAATTTCAATTTTATTTTTTTATATTATTTTCAAACACACACACACACACACACACACACACACACACACACATACACACACAACAAATATATATACAATATAGGAACATATATAAGTTTTATTTAATCAATTAATGGTATGTAGATAGTATTAATGATATTTACTCTGCTATAAATCATATTTCAATACCGATTTTTTTCTGGTATAAAAGATATATCTCGATCATATATGAAATTGATTCCGGAAGCATACTTGGCTCCGCACCGTAGGATTTTGCAAATATTCGTGAGAGTTGCACGAGACGTCTACATAAGAAAATGCCGTTTGGGTGAAAGTTTCTAGACATGGTAGTATCAACAAAGATGTATTTCCGGCACGTTCTCTCATGCAATACCGCTATACTACTGACTTGTACTCATTCCACCTGTCGAAGAGAATATGAGGAAAACAGAGAATATTGTTTGCAGATTTCGTAGGTTTTCTCTTGAGAACAGCAATGCGCGAAATTCTGACAAAAGCTTGATGTGCAACGGCACGGTATAAGAATTGTCTTGCTTCAAGGCCAAATGCGAGAACATGACACAATGATAATACTTTAAGTAACAATAGGGTGATAAGAAACTATATTTAAAAATATATTTTTTTCTACTTAGTTATTTTTGTTATAATTGTTGTTAGCAATTTCTCGGCGAAAAAAACATGTATATTATATATCTAATGAATTATTATTATTAGGCAAATAAAATTGTACAAAATTGTAAATAATAAAACAGATTTTTTTTGGTTCTCAAAACTATTTTCTGTCCTTTTACTGCTGTACCGTACGCATTTAAACCAGACGTAGCGTGCAAAATTTATATTATCTAATACATTAAAAACTCCCGCATAATTTGCTTGAAAGCTTCTAGTTATTTTTAAACTCAGGCAAATTAAATTCTTTTATCATTTCCACGGTAACACAATCAGGGCAGTGACGTCTATCTTACGGCGGGATATTCTCATCACTACATAACGTATCCCATTTTTTCCGTTCTTCGCTGTCAGCAAAAATTTCATTCGCGTGACTAGCGTGGGAGTTTGAGTCAAGTTATACTTTTAAAATCCTATTACGGGTGTGAAATTTAGCAAAGAAAGTTGCGGATTAGTTTCGTGAAATATAATTGGATGTGGTGAATGGAATTGTACCTTCATGATAATAATTGGCAATGTCTATTCTATGAGACGAAGTTTCTCGCTTGGCGAGCTAAAAGATTCAGAAGCTAAAAAAAAATCGTAGAGGACAGTGAACGAAAAGACCAAAGTAACAGAGAAAATAGAATAGGAAAGAGAGAAAGATCGTAAAGCAAAAAGTATATGGGGAGTGTACATATTCAATTTAACTCTAACAGGAATGAATAAGATGTATATATCCGAGTAAATATATATATGATTGCTTCTCTGTAAAAGTGAGTTATGTCGGCGTGCCCGGGACGATAGAATGGTGCATTCTAGAGAGAGGGAACATCAAAGACTCTTTGTAAATCCGTTCTAACGTTTCTTATTTATATAGAACCATTTCAAAAATCTCTGCAACTGTTAAGTATGGATGGAAATATTTTCTCATAACAACTGGCAAGAATATGTAAGAAATATCGTGACGAATTGATAACATGTTGTTATCTATATTTACAAAATATTTTATTTGTTCTTTATATTAAAATATGAAATTAAAGCAATCCATTTTATGTTATTCATTTCATATTGCGCTAGTTTTTATCAATATTTTATATAGAAAGATTGAAGTATTCTTATAATACTTCAATCTTTCTATATAAAATATAGATCTATAATCTATATATCTTTATAATCATTTTATAAATATCATTATCTATCAAAGGATGCCATCAAATTTGTCAATACTTCTCCCTAATATTTCTAGCATGGTTTCTCGCATTCGCACGACTAAGGGAATTGCAAGAATTATCATAACTCGACACTCTTGAGAAATGAGAGTCTCTCTCTTTCTTTCTCTCTTTCCTTCTAGCGAGCGCTTCGCCATTTCGAGATTATTTACCTCAAAGGTCTGTAAAGTTTTCTAACAGCTGTTACTGGGCGAACTCCGCTTCCTTCTTCGATCTTATTTCGCCTTCACCTGCTACGCGAGCTAGAACAGATATCTTTCTTGCTTGCAGAAGTACTTGAAACTCTCAAGCGGCAGTTACCCGATATGTTTCTACACCGTCCGCACGCTCGAATTCTGTCGGAAATTTCGCCAAAAACTGAAAAGCCGTATTTCATTACGCGTATACGTGAAGCGAGATTGAAATAAACGGAAGTTTCGAAGCCACACAACGATTATTTTTCTTCAATGATATAGAACCGTACTAATATATATATTTATATATTTATAATATATATATATATATATATATATATATATATATATATATATA